TCAAAACCGATGGGCACTAAACACTCGTGTAAACCAGAGTGCAGTGAAAACGTTTCTGTCATGGGCTCCACAAATTTACAGCTTTGAGGGAGTTTTAAAACACTGAATGCTTGCATTTCTGCTTCACACATCAAAGCTGAAAGTTCCTACTTCTGCATAATATTCCGAAAAAATATATAGTGCCTCGCACAACCAAACCAATTGTAGGTGCACTGGATGAAGAAAGCTAGAAAAATTGGCCTATTATCATTACTAACAGCTGATTGAACTCACTATAAATGTGTTCATAAATGTGCTTCTGCTTTGCATGTTTCGTAAGCCTATGGAAAGTCAATTGACCAAAACACTGCTCATTAAAATATTTTTGTGATGATCCAAACTTGAGTAGTGTGCAGGATTTATATTTTTCTAGTTTATATTGCAAAATACTCACAGAAATAAAATGGAACACTCATCAAGCAAATTGGTACAGTGTTCACCTATGATAGAATAAAATGCAAATTTACTGAAACGACTGAAACAAAGGCTGCAATAATCATTCCGTCAAGTCAGAATAAAAATTTAGTGAGTGAACGATGTTAGAAATTGAAACTTGATATTTGCATTTGCTGCTACCAAGTTCATGGTTAGGGCTGCAGAACATGAATTACCGGTTTCGAGATATATATCGCGGTTTGAAAGAAAAATCACGGTTTCAAAACCACTAAAATTTTCCATTATACCGTTCCTGTGCTATGCAGCAGAGCATTTTATTTTATTTTTTTTCAGAGATAGAAAGTACCCTGGAAGTTACGCGATTATTTCAGCCGATCTCTGTTCCGGACTTGCACAAACTGCATTGCAATCATTTTCAAAAATGTCATTTGTGTGGAAATATTACAAAGTCTGCAAACAGACGTTAATAGAGGCCAGAGACGCTGAAGACGGACGCAAAGAGGAGAAAAATATTGTAGCAGGCAGAGCACGGTTCAAGATGCAAGAAATATAGGAAGAAAATCCTACATTTAGAATTTTTGGTTTATATGACTGTATCTCTGAGAGGAACTGAAGTTTAGATGGTATTTTCTTTTCGCCTTGCCTCTGGATAATCCATATTAAAGCAGTGTTTATAAGCGCAGCGCTGCTTTGTTTAAAGTGGTAACCAAGAAAATGCTGTATCACTGCTGTTAAGTAAGCGCCACCTGCTGGCAGAGAGTGAATTTGTGTCTCATTCAGCCCATCCGCTGTTTCTGTTGCGTGCAGGCATGTGTTATGTAGCATAATTTCACAAAGCTAAAGTCAGACCTTTCTATTTTTGCTTCAAATTTTTAAATTATACAATCTAATATAAATAAAAAACTGCTCATGCTACATGTTTGGGCCATCATTGAAATGCAGTGGTTGACTATAATTTTAAATGGCTACAGAGAGTTTGGTCTGTAATAGAGCAAACATCTTGTTTGTGTACTTACATTTTAATTCTTTATTGTCTTAAAGAACTTTTAAGTCTTTAAAAAGTCTTTATTGTCTTTGTTTTTTAAATCGGCTATCACTATATGTGCATCAACACTAAAACAATAATCGATTTTACAGCATTTGATATTATTCTTAGCAGTAGTAGTATGTTTTACATAAAATCAAATCAAATTCTATAATTAATGGTTCGACTATAACACACACGTTTGTTTCTGTGACTTGTGGGGACTTTCCATAGACTTCTATTACTTTTATACTGACCAAACGATATTTATATCCCATAACCTAACCCTAAGCAGGATTTATATTTTTCTAGTTTATATTGCAAAATACTCACAGAAATAAAATGGAACACTCATCAAGCAAATTGGTACAGTGTTCACCTATGATAGAATAAAATGCAAATTTACTGAAACGACTGAAACAAAGGCTGCAATAATCATTCCGTCAAGTGAGAATAAAAATTTAGTGAGTGAACGATGTTAGAAATTGAAACTTGATATTTGCATTTGCTGCTACCAAGTTCATGGTTAGGGCTGCAGAACATGAATTACCGGTTTCGAGATATATATCGCGGTTTGAAAGAAAAATCACGGTTTCAAAACCACTAAAATTTTCCATTATACCGTTCCTGTGCTATGCAGCAGAGCATTTTATTTTATTTTTTTTCAGAGATAGAAAGTACCCTGGAAGTTACGCGATTATTTCAGCCGATCTCTGTTCCGGACTTGCACAAACTGCATTGCAATCATTTTCAAAAATGTCATTTGTGTGGAAATATTACAAAGTCTGCAAACAGATGTTAATAGAGGCCAGAGACGCTGAAGACGGACGCAAAGAGGAGAAAAATATTGTAGCAGGCAGAGCACGGTTCAAGATGCAAGAAATATAGGAAGAAAATCCTACATTTAGAATTTTTGGTTTATATGACTGTATCTCTGAGAGGAACTGAAGTTTAGATGGTATTTTCTTTTCGCCTTGCCTCTGGATAATCCATATTAAAGCAGTGTTTATAAGCGCAGCGCTGCTTTGTTTAAAGTGGTAACCAAGAAAATGCTGTATCACTGCTGTTAAGCACACACACACACACTCTCTCACACTCTCACACACACACACATACATATATATCAGCAAATCAACCATCCACATCAAAAGCTGCAGGTCAGCCTACATTTGAGAAATAGATCAAAGAAAAAAGAAACAAATACTGCTGTTCCAAATATTCTGTATGTTGCTTATAAACAAAATATAATGCATTCAATGGGGGGGGGGAGTAGTTATTTTTTACCCAGACATTTAAAAAGAACACGTTTTAGAGCTTAAATTGCAATGCCGTGATACTGTGAAACCATGATATTTTTGCTTAAGGTCATATCATATCATACCATCATATCATATTAAAATCTCATACCGGCCCATGCCTAATATGAATTTCACACAAGACTAATCACCCAGCCACAACTGCAAAAACCATCTGTTTATACTAACATAGCCAATTATTACTTTTTTGCCAGTTTTACAAATCAGTTCTGCCCATATAAACATATCAAGTTAGATACCCAGACATCCCTTGTTTTACTGCTGCAGCCCACTGTCTTCCTCTGGTCTCCATTAGACGGAGCAGGGCCACAGAAGCCACCACACCCATAGACACGGCTAATATAATCAAGAAGCCTGCAGACATTATGGAAAAGGCCATTGGAGACAGACCTCGAGCCATCACAAGAGCCTGACTCAGTACCTCCACATCTGTCCTCAACATATCATTCTAGTGGAGACAGCAAAGTATACATTAAAACAGTCAGATTGCTTTTGTTGTTGCACACACTCTCCACTATCCATCACTGGGATGGTACCCTTTCCAAAAGGTACTAATACGCACCCTTTGGGGTAAATAAGGTACAAAGGTGCATCGTAGAATGATACAAGAGCCATTGCATAACATTATTGGAAATAAGTTGCTTGAGACCATGGTCAATTATGCAATTTAGCATCATTACACAACAACAGTTGAGCACAAAATGCTGTGACCAATCAGAAGCAAGTATTCTATAGAGCCGTGTAATAGTGCCCGCCCACTTTTTCAGTGGTCTTGGATCCAGAAGTATTTTTCCCATTAATTTGTTGTTAAAGAGTTATTAGCCATGAACCAAACCAACCAGCTACGAAGTGAATCACATTACAAATGTGTACGACTTCAATGAGGAAAAGGACTACAATCCCATCAGGCATTGCAAATAACTGAGTGGAGAAATGGGGACATATAAAACTACTGATTTAAAGATGTTGAGTATATGTATAAAAACTAAATATTTTACATTGCAAAATAGGCGTATAAATACAAATATTTCAGTAGTTTTAGAGCATAGGGAGGTAATTTGCAGTGCTTCACGGGAGTAGCACTAAAGAGTTCTTTTGCTGTATTTATCTTGTTTTGATTCTCTGATTGGAGGAGATTTCTTAGCAGAATCGTGGGTAATGTAGTTTTTCACCAGGAAACATGATTATTTATAAAATAAGTTATTAATATGCAGGCTGACAGCTTCAACTAAAAAAAATGTATATTAAATTAACAACCTCTTGGCTCACAGTAGGCCTATTTTTAATGGTTATATAAGATACCATTCAAAACCATTTTCCATATGGAGAAAATATGGAATTTTTAATTCCGGATCCGGACTGTTGCACTCTATATGAATTACAGATTTAAAGACCAGTCAGTAGTCCAGCTCACCAGTGGATTGGGAGTGAAAAATAATGCAATGATATAAATGAGAAGAACACATTGATTTCTTTTCTTTCTCTGAAAGCCACACATGCATTGATTTTGAGTCTACAGCCCAGAGGCATAAGATAACTGAAGCATAGACAGACTCCTATAAATGATCAATGGTGACACAGATTATTCATACAGTAGTCCAGCTTTAAGCCTGCGTGGCCTGTGTCAGAGCAAAATCAGAAGAATCAAACCAACCTTTGATATATTTACTTCCATTAAGGAATAGATACAGGATAGTACTTTCTATTTTTGTTAAATGACACTCCGAAAAGTGGTCCTTGAAAATCTTAGCTACATGAAACGTCAGATTGCAGAGGTTTCTATATCAAGTGAGCCTCTGACTAAATTACACTCTGGAGATCCTATTAGAGCATGAGAACTCACTCCCTTTGGGAAAGAGATACTGGAGAATCCCAGATAAATTTACCAGAGGGTAACTGGTGCACACCAGAGAGGATGAAGCTGAACACACAAAGCAAAGAAGCTTATAGCAGGGTTATTATACAATGCTATAACTAAAACCATAACAAAACATTCTTGCAACTTAAAATAAATGTTAACTGAAACAAAATAAAATATTTGTACATTTTATATCAACTAGTAGAAACTATATATATAAATATAATGTATAAAAATAACTAAACTTAAAATAATAACATTACTATTAAAAAGGAAACGAACTAACATTTTTAAGTTCTATCATTCTAAATCAACTTCCCTATGGATAAAATGAATGGTGTTTTTTAATTCCGCACTCTATATGAATTTGGTATTTAAGGAGCAGTCAGTTTTCCAGCTCACCAGTGGATTGGGAGTGAAAAAATAATTTAATATAATAATATAAATGAGAGAAAACAAACTTTCTCTCATTTCTTCTCTTTCTCTGAAAGCCACACATTAATTTTGAGGCTAGAGCCCAGAGGCATAAGATGACTTATAAAAATGACAAAAACACAACTAAATTACCAACATCTCGACTAAAAATAAATAGAAAATGGAAAATACAAAAATAAAAAATACAATTATTTAAAAAAAAAAACTACTATAACACTATCGCTATGATACTAAAATCATTTTGAATCGTCGAGTATATCATTCACTGATTATTTAGTATAAATCACTGCCTCACAGGTTAAACACAGCACTTATCCCTAAGCTACATGTTTTTGGTGACGCTTTCTTTCATCCGTGGAAAACAAAGAGGATTTTTAAGAAATCGCTTAGATCACTTTTTCCATGCATTTATGCCATGAATGGAGAGTGAAGCTGTAAAGCTTCAAAAAAGACACAAAAGCACCGCAAACATCTCATAAAAAGTGGTTGGTATGACTCATGACGTCTTCTGAAATCACACAATAGCCTACAGTTCTGCTTTTGTGTAAATGATGACAGTTTTCCCCTCTGCTACTGTAAGTGCTTGTCATCCTTAAATCATGCATGACTAGAAATGATGAGGATGATCGCTGACATGTACGTCTCTTCTCGTCACCTGCAGCCAGGTCCAAGAGCATGGTGATGGGAGAGGCATCACGTGGCTCACCGAGTCTCCAAGAGGGAGTGCTAAAAGCCGGCTGGCTGAAGAAGCAGAGGAGCATCATGAAGAACTGGCAGCTGCGCTGGTTTGTGTTGCGTGCTGACCACCTCTACTTCTACAAGGATGAAGAGGAGACCAAACCACAGGTGTGTTCAGCTTTGAAGACGTACAGAAATATTCCTATGAAAAGAAATGTGGCGGTTGAACTACTCTGAATTTGCATCACTTTGTCCAATGGCTTCTACAGTGCATGCAAAGTAGGGTACAACGGGGCTAAAGGCACGCCTTAAAGGGATAGTTCACCCAAAAATGAAAATTAGCCTGTGTTTTACTCACCCTCCAAGCATCCTAGGTGTATATGACTTTCTTCTTCCAGACGAATCCAATCGGAGTTATATAAAAAAATTGTCCTGGCCCCTCCAAGCCTTACAATGGAGGTAAGCGGGTGCTTTGTCAACAGTCCAAAAGACGTGAAATAAAGTGAGTGCATCTGTAATAAAATGTGCCTCACACAGCTCCGGGGGGTGAATAAAGGCCTCCTGTAGCAAATCCATGTGTTTTTGTAAGAAAAATATCCATATTTCAAACGTAATAAACACCTTTTTCTCACTTCCGCTGACTGTCGTACGCGGAAGCCGTAACTTTAATTGAATTGGAACTTTAATTGAATACCCCTGACTTATATCATAAAGAAATACTTTATTTGTATGGTATTGTAATATCTCTGTCACATATTTCCTCATGTGTCATGGTAGATCGGACTCTTATTATAGAATTTAATTTCAGAATTTTTTTTTTTTTCAGTTTTGAACATGGTAATGGATTAAGAC